GCAGCCTCACTAAGGCCAAGTAAAGCAGGAGAATGACATCCCTAGTTTTGATTGAGATGCATTGGTGGATGCATGCCAGAGTTTGGTTTGCTCTGCTGGCCACGGCATTGCACTGGGGGCTCATGTTCATCTTGTGGTCAATCAAGACCCCCAAGTCTCTTTTGGCTGCAGTGCTAGTGAGCATAGCACTGCCGAGCCTATAAGTATGATGTTGCACCAAGATGAAGTACCCTGCATTTCTCCATGTTGAATGCCATCAGGTTTTGTTCCACCCACTTTGCAAGCATTTCCATGGCAAGACTGAAGAAGTGGATAAAACAGAAATGAAGATCGGGGTATACATTACAAATAAAAGCAAGAACATTTTGCACCCATCAGTACTCTCAGTGGTCCCACTAGACCCAGGTCACCAGCTGCCTCACTAGTTCCACACAATATAGTTTTGCAGGTAGATAGGATAAGTACCTGAACAATTTGTTGAGTTATTTAAATATAAAATATGTAATCCTGTATTTTTGTTTAATTAAATAAACAATATAAAAGACCAAAAATAATCATGTATTTCATATGGATTTAAACAATTTATTCCAGTAAATGAAAGCAAAAGGCTACATAATCTTATTTAATTTGTTTTTGTTTTAGAACGTCAACCGTGCACATCGATGGCTGGTTCAAATGCTCTCCCTTCCAATGTAGCTGGTATCAGTAAAGAGCTGATAGAACTGCAGCACCTCATCCAGTTTCCAGAGGAAGTTGCAAGTATCCTGACCGAACAGGAACAGGATCTCTACCGAAAGGTCTTACCCATTGACTACCTCTGCTTCTTAACCAGGGATCTGGGTAATGCTGAATGCCACAGTAACCTTCCATGCATAAAAGATTCCATATCTGCAACTATTCTTTCCTCCCAAAATGGTGAACACAATGCTGTTGAAGATCTTGTAACAAGATTTAATGAGGTAAGGCAAGATGTTTTATTTACTTTATGTGTAAATTATTTAGCTTTCTAATGCAATATCTGGGTCAGTTTTATTCCTTTGTATCCAGGGACAGAATTTAGGTCTATGTGTTTATATTTTAAAAAGGTGGCTAGGAGATTTATCTATATAACTTCCATTGAAATTAGTGAAAGTTATATAGCTAACCTCCCTAAACAGAGACGGTTAATTAACTGTATTAATTTGAAGTTAGGCAGAAGGCAGAGCACAGGTGCACCTTATAAGCTAATTAAATAAGTGATGCATAAGCTTTTATGAGTTCAAGCTCACTTCATCAGATGCTGTACTTCCCTAGTCCATTTTGAACATGTTAGTCCAGGGAATCTCAGGGTGCCTCTCTATAAGTTGGGAAATAGGGGTTTGCTGCTTACAGAGTGTGTCTACACATGCATTTACTCCATCTTAGATTTACTGTGCAGTAACCTACTGTAGAGCAAGGCTTTTTGGGTAGGTGTCTACACATGTAGGGATTAGGGAGAAGATTTTCTCCCAGGTCCCTGAAGCCTTTCAGTGCACCCCTGTGGTCACTTGGGAGAGCTCCAGCTGCAGCTGCCAGCACCTGGCAGCCATCTTAAAAAGACAGCCCCACTCTCTGGGCAGCCTCTTCCTTGCCTAGGAGCAGCATGGCAAGTGCAGAGACAGCATGCAGCAGCTTTCTCCATGGCCACCCTGCCTCCCTGTGCTATAGCTGCCCCAGCCTCTGGCCCTGGCAGCTACAACCAGTACCTTGGGCTCCTGGCCTTGGTGGCCCACTGTGCCAACTGCTGCCTGGCCCACAGCTGTCTTGCCTCACTCAGCTCCCTCACAACCAGCAAACATCTACTTGCATGCAGCATGCCATCCCGGGACTACTGCCACCACCACACAGCTGCCACCACCAGGGACACCAATGCGGGGCTTCTGAATACCATCACCAAGCCTCTGTTGCCATCCTGAGCCTCCAGCCCCACTGCCTCTGGGCCCACTGCACCAGTCAGCACTGGTGGCTGCACCTCGTCCAACAGACCTGGGATGATGAGCAGTGGCTGGATGCATTTCAGCTGACCCGGGTCACCTTCCGGGACCTGCTCCACCAACTCCAGTCCCACCTGGAGCAGCAGGACACCAGCATGTGCCCGACCCTCCCTGCTGACCCCTGGCTGGTCCTCAAGCTTCTGAAGCTGGCCATGCCTGCCAGCCTCCACTACGTGGACACCTGTTTGGTGTGGGCAAGGCCACCACTGGGGAGGCCTCCTGGAAGTATAGGAGGACCTCCAGGATGTGCTGGCAGATTCTGTGCTCCATGTCCATGACACTTTGGTGATGGTGGGTCCCCCTGGACTTGACCCACATCCCAGTCACCTGTCTGCCCCACAGAGACCATCTCTATTACAGCCATAAGGGATTTCACTCCATGGTCCTGCAAGCTATTGTGGACCACCATGTCACATTCACACATGTAAGTGCTGGCTGGGTGGGCACAGCTCACGATGCTTGCATAATTTGGAACTCCAGCCTGGTGGGACTGGTGGAGAGCAGGTGCTTTGTGGTGGGGGTGCTGGACCTGCAGCTGGGTGCCACTGTGGTTCCACCCCTGCTCATTGGGGACCTGCCTTCTGCTCCTGCCCTGGCTGATGCGGCCCTACACCAGCCACCCAGACCCCCTCCAGGCCCACTTTAGCCAGTGCCTGGACCTATACCCTGGTCAAGTGTGCCTTTGGCTGCCTCAAGGACCACTGGCACACCCTTACTGTCTGCCTCGAGGTCACCAAGGAGAATCTCCCCTGGGTTATCTTTGCAGCCTGCATGCTGCATAATATCTGCAAGGCCCAGGGGGAGCTGTTCCATGAGGCCTGGGTGGAGGAGGGGCAGCGGGCAGAGGCTGCCTGGCAGTGGGAGCACCACCTGTAGTGGCAGGTCCCCCCCTCCTGCCTCCCTCCTCAATATACAGATTCCCTTCCTCCCTCCCACCTCAACACAGAGAGCCCCCTCCCCAACAAACAGAGCCCCCATACCACCTACCCCACCCACCAATAACAAAAACCCTCTTCCCAGTAAAAACTATGTACAAAGTGCAGTTTTTTGGTGTCCCAGAGTGGGGTTCATGGAGTTGGAGCATCTAGGAGGCAGAGACTGTGGACAGTTGGCCAGTACCCTGGCCTCCTGCTGGTTCTCCATGGGTGTACACACCATGGCATGTGGGGTGGGCGAAGGGCTCACCTGGAGGTGATTGTGGCCACTGGCCCTCTGACACAGGCAGCTCTGCCTTTGCCAGGGGCTGTCCATGGTCACCAGAGCCAGTGTGGGGTCCTGTCCCTACTGCTGGCTGCTGCAGCTCTGCACCCACATGGAGCCAAGGTAAGTGACAGGCCTTGGCCCAGGCAGGGGAGGGTCTCTATGACTGACCACAATTGTGGTTTCGCTGTGCCCAAAAGACCATGCCTGCAAGACATGTCACCAGAGGAGGGACCCTCAAGAGTGCAGTATCCCATACCGCCCAGCTTCCCGGCTGTAGCCTCCACCAGCATCTCAGGGAGACCATGCCCTTTATGCAGCAGCTGACCCATATTTTGGGCACCCCGGGACCCAGGTTGCAACTATGCAGTTTATACCAGCAGAAGCAACTTGCCCGAGTCCCACCCCCCTGCCAACCCCTTGACCTTTATGTGGCATTGCCCACAAGGCCTTGACCTTTATGCGGCATTGCCATGCTGACCGGTCATGCCCTCACTTCTTCATCTTGCCCAACAGGGCCTTATAAATATGGGTGTTGGAGTGCCTGCCTTGCTCAAATTGGCGCAGCACCTCCATATCACTCCAGAGTGCCACGAGGTTGCCAATCTCCTCCTGGCTCCAACTGGAGCCCCAGATGGAGGGCACGGGCTTGTGCATGTGGGTGGTGCTGGGCTTGTATGGTGAGGATGAGATCACACTGAGTCCCACACTGGCTGTCTCGGCTTCTGTCCAGCTGTCCCAGTATTGCCAGCCCTGGACATCTGCCAGCAGCGCCCAGCTCAGTTGCACAGCTAGGAACTGGCAGCCACGTGGCAGAGGCTATACCCCTGTAGCACCTGCAGGCACAGGGCAGGATATGGGGAGTGTGCAGCAGGGAGGTGGTACTGGCCCTGCTGCCAGAAGCAGCCTGCAGGCAGCCGTGGCGAGCTGACAGGGCTGGCCAAGGGACACAACAGCTTGCAGCACTGTTCAGCACCCAGGTGGCCTGACAACAGTGCCCTGGTAGCTGTGCTCTCAGACTCCCTGTGGTGTGTGCCCAAGGCACAAAATGTTTGCAGACTTTTATAGCCTGCGGACAGGGGCTGACAAAGAGGCAGACTAGCCCTGAAGCAGGAAAGGCTCCTAGATTGCATTCCTGGGGCTGGCTTCAGGCCAGCCCCCTAGGACAGGGCAGACCCAGGAGCAAGCTTGCTCCTGGGTCACTTCTACACATGTGGTACTGCACAGTTACCACTCATGCTTAAATTTGGCAGCACATTTAATCACGATTAAGGGTTTTTACTGTGCAGTAAGTAAGCACACATGTAGACGTGCATGCTTACTGTGCAGTAAACTAGGCAATGGAGCAGTAACGCATCTCATGTAGACACCCCCACAGAGACCCACCCATAATCTCCAGGGGCAATCTTTTTGAATTGGGAGGCATAGGAATCCCTTGTGCCCCCATGCTTCCACATGGAGACATGACTACTAAGACTTGTCCCTGGAATCTCTGGGGATCATCTGAGTAAGTAGGGAAAATGTGGCTTTCCTCACTCACCCAAATCCACCTCTTAGGAGATCCTAGGAGCAAGTGACAAGACAAAGGGCGATATGTGTTTAGTCCAATGAAGTGGATCAGTTGTTCTGCAACACATCAGCTTCATTCAGTGACATCTATTTCCAACCTCAGCTTGGAAAATTAAACAAGAAAAAAAACATACAATCAGTACCTATTCTCTTGTCATATATTTATATTAGTATCTGAGTGTATTTTCAAACAGTTTATTACGTTGTTCAGAGACTAGAGTGTATTGTGTTTGTCCATTTGTTTGTTTTCATTGTTTTGGAGTAAGCATGATCTTTTTGGTGGTCAGCCTGGAAGTACCCCACTCACCCATCCCAGCTACTCTACAGAGGAAATTACATTAAAATAACAGTTATTAAAGCTATAGAATATAGTAATTTAATAGGTCTGTCTGAAATTTTAAAAAACCAAAAAAGGTAATTATTAGGAGTGTGCTGATAGAGATTTTTGGGGCCGATAATGCTGGCCAATTTTTAATGAGGCATATTGGCCAATACCAGTCTGATTGCTGATATGCAACTGGGCAGCTTGGAGAGCAGTGTCTGGCTGGCAAGTCTCTTGGGGGGAAGGGGCATGGAGGAGGGAAGGGGCATGGAGGAGGAAAGGGGTTGGGAGGGGCAGGTCAAGGACCTCACAGTGAGGTAGGGAGTTGGGCTGGTGCTGTGGTAGGGGCAGGTGCTGCACATCTGGGGCAGAGCCACAAGTGATTCATCAGGGGGGCAGCTCCTGCCACTGCACACACCCTGGGAGGGCATGGGGGCATGGGCCTCCAGCTTTGCATGCGGGATGAGGGCAGGCTGTTGCTGTGGGCTGGGGCAGGGTGGCACCAGGCTCTTCATGGTGGGGGGTTGCACTGGGGCTGCACTCTGGGTGGGCAGCAGTGGCACTGGGAGGGCTGCAGCCACCCCAAAATTCAACCTACCCCCCTTCCCAGAGCTGGCCCAGCTTGCCACAGCAGCCCACCCTTGCCCCATGTGCAGATCTGGGAGCACATGCCCCCCTATCTCCTCCCAGGGTGTGTGTTCAGCAGCCGGAGCCCCCCCCCCCATGCCTCCTGGACAAGCCATTCATGGCTCTGTCCCACATTCTGCCCCAGCTCTGCATCACCTGACCCTGCCCCAGCCCTACTCCTTCCCTCCCCACTGGGGCCTTGATCTGCCCCCACCATGCCCCTTCTCTT